TTTTTTGTGCTGGACGAGTATTGCGCCAGGTAATGAGCTCGTATTTGTCCATCTCAGTCACTCTGCCCATTTGCGGTATTTGCGGACATTTGTTGATATTGTTCAAATAGAGACTGTTATATATTTTGTAATCAAACGCACAGTATTTATAAATTTAAAAAGCACGTCGACAAATCACTTGCAAATATCATCAAATTGATACACAATAATAAACGCACATAAAATTGAAATATGAAACTCTTTTCATGAAATTTTTCTTATGCGATATTAATTTGAGAGTCTGTTTTCTGATAATAGATACGGCGTACGTTTGTGCTTTCGGCATCTTTCCTATCTTCACGATCTGTTGGACAGAATCGATCGTGGGCTTATGATAGATCCAACATTGATACACTTTAGCTTTGCCTTTTGTGCCACTCATGTCTACGGTAATACCACGTCGGCCGATGGTGTGGGCTCGATCACTCATGAAGAGAAAGATAAATTTCAGGAAATTAAAGAACGGCTGAGACAGATTCTTGAGAAGCAAATCACCAACTTTAGGTAAATAAATCTAATATTGTTCTATGTTGTGTATGAAAATGTAACAAATAATTATTATAAATAATTATTCGCATCTGTTATTATTTAGCTCTAAAGTACTTTTCTTTATAATGTTATTTATATCATTTATTAATTTATATCTTACAAAAATTTTTTTTTTTTCTTCAAACAATTTTTTTAAATTTTTATTGCACTAATTTTTATAATAATTTGCATAGATTTATTTAGAAAAGAAATTAATGCACATACTGTGATAATAGAGTTGTTGCAATGAAAATACTCGTAAAAATGGATTGTTTGATAATAATCTTTTTAAAATAATTGTTTTCTCAAAGATTAATTCATGAATATGATTTGCCTCGCAACAGGTACGGTTTTCCATTCGGACGTCCGGATGGTGCACTGAAAGCGACTTTATCTCTGCTGGAACGTGTTCTCATGAAAGATAGCGTAACGCCTGTACCACAAGAAGAAGTAAAAGCGTTGATAAAAAATTGCCTGGAAACGGCAGCGCTAGTTAATTACACGAAATTGTCCGCCGAGGCGAAGATTGAAGACGATTTGAGCGGCGAGGTGTGCGTGCCTCCTAATAAGAAGCTGGAGGATCTCATACACCTCGCCGAGCTGTGCGGGACCTGCTGCAGCAAAATGAAGAACATTATTCGGAGGTATTAGTTGGGTTTTTAGAACTGAGTGTCCATACGCGGGGTTCTCGAGAGAGAGGGTCAGCATGCCTTGATACACGGACTTGGTAAGGGTCCGCCACCTCCTCAGAAGACAAAAACGCGCCTTCGCCATTTTTTTTTTCGTCGTAGACCTCAATCGCGTAGATATAGTCACGTAGAAAGCTTCTGGTATCATCGCGAAAGTTGCTTTCGCTAAAATAATTGCTGAATCGCAGACATCGTGAGTATCCTTTTGTAATCGAGAGATTACTTTTTTTGGCGGAAGAACAAAAAAGCAACACTGTCTTTATTTTTTTGTATCGTTACGTTTTCTAATTTGTCACATATACCATATGTATATATACATCACCAAACATATCACAAAACAATGCAGGGTAGATACATCAGTAAAAAAATATCTGGTCCAAATTTATTTTTTGTGCGTCTAAAATATAATTATATTTTAAATAAAAAGAATATAAGGGGACCAGAAAGAATCAATCAATGTTTATTACTGGTTTTCAAATATAGTATAAAATAATCAATTATTTGCAATTATAAATTTTATAATTTTGACTAATTCTTATTTTAATATTAAAATATATTACAAAATTAATACTTTGATTTAGCAAAGGAATTAAATGATTTACTGATGTATCTATTCTAGTCTACTCTACACGTTGCTGCGTTTAGTTTGAATTTAGTTTCATTGTCACTTCTCATTAGATACCTTCCGCAAACGAAGCAAGTCTCATCGATATTCAATCGCGATATTCTCGACGTCTCGTTCGAATCGAATTACGAAACTTCGAGCTGCAGCAAACGCTTGTCGCTTAGCGTCACGAGTTTTACGATCTCACGCACATCATGAAGTAGAAGTAGTGTCTTCTGGGTACTCGAGGGCCTCGTGCTCAGGGTGGCGTCCCCATCACCCCGAGCTGGAAGAAACATGCCCACCGTATATGTGCGACGTATAATATTTTCACGGTCCACTCCTACTACACTGTACCGCAGGCGTTCGCCTGGTTTAGCGATCTTATGGTGGAGCACGCCGAGATCTTCTGGTCGCTATTTGCCGTCGACATGGACAAAGTCCTCGCGGAACAGCCACCCGACACATGGGACAGTTTTCCACTGTTTCAAATAATGAACGATTACCTTAGGACGGACGGTAAGTTTAGATCTTTTTATTGAAAATTTGTTCTATTACATTTTTAATAGTTCTCAGATGTTAGAAATCTCCTCTGCTTTAAATCTATAATCTAAAGATTCTAGATAATAGCGAAATTTAATTTGCATATAGACAATTTGAAGAACGGAAGATTTCACCAGCATCTACGCGACACGTTCGCACCTTTAGTAGTGCGCTACGTGGATCTGATGGAGACATCGATCGCTCAATCGATCCATAAGGGTTTCGAGAAGGAAAGATGGGAGATAAAAGGGAACGGTTGCGCTACTTCGGAGGATCTCTTTTGGAAATTGGACGCGTTGCAGTCGTTCATCGGCGGGCTGCATTGGCCCGATCAGGAGTTTAGGCAACATCTCGAACAGAGATTGAAACTGATGGCTTGCGATATGGTGGAGTCGTGCATACAAAGGACCGACGCGGCCTTCCAGCAGTGGCTGAAGAAAGGCGTGACCTTCATCTCGACCGATTACATCATACCGTCGGAAATGTGCGCTATGGTGAACGTTATTTTGGATGCCAAGAATCAGAGTTTTAAGCTTTGTACTGTCGATGGTGTTGATGTGGTAAGTTCACGGTCGTTGATTCTCGAGAAAAACATTGATCCAACACGATATTATATTTTTAATATATGACTGTTTTTAATATATGACAGAATTTATGTGTAAAAATATATAGCACATTGCTGTTACAGAATTTAATAGTAAAAAGATTATTTTAATAAGTTTTTTATTTTACGATTCCACAAAAAATCGATCCAGCACGATATAATATTTCTAATACAACGATTACAACAGAATTTATAATGTATATAAAAATATATTAAGTATTTTTACATATTATATAAATTCTGTCGCAACCATTGTATTAATATCGTGTTGGACCGATTTTTTGTCGAGAATCAATCATATGCATATATATATATTTATATATTAAAAAATAAAAAACTTGTTAAAAAATAATATTGTTTTATTGTTAATTGCCGTAACGGTAAAACGTGCTAACATTATAATCATTCAGATAAATATATTTTACATTGTTATCATATAATTAATGTTCATGTTTTTAGCATCAATATCATTCTAAAATTGATGACATGATTGAAAAAACATCAGCAGGAATGAATCAAGGAATGATTAACAAGTTAATAACAGTATTGGACGCGACGCTGTCAAAGTTGTCTCGTTACGACGAGGGTTCCATTATCGGCTCTATTCTCAGTCTTACGGTATTTCGTTCTGTTTAATAATATATATATTATCTACCATTCTTAATTTTCTTATATCTTATACTGTTCAGTAATAGATTATTTGTCGAAAAGCCGAGGTGTGATTCGAGTGACAACATAAACTTGAAGAATTATCGGAACTTTTTAACAACTTAATATTTTACAATTCATTTTTAGAAGGTATCAGGAAGCGGCAAGGAAATGGGACAAGCCTACGTGAACTTCATGAGAAATTGTATGGATCAGATTCGTAGCAAAGTCCTCGACGAGTTATGGATCTTGACTTTCTTCGAGGTAAGAGTCGAGTCGGTTTAAACAACAAGATAAAAAGCGTTTCAATTCTACTTATAATTGTACTTAAAAAAATTGGCACGTTACTAATTCGTTTGTATTATTGAATGAAATTTTGCTAATTAAATTAATTTAATTTGTAGCAATGGTATACGGCACAGATACAAATGTTATGTAATTGGTTGTCCGAGAGGCTTGATCATAGCCTGCATCTGCATCAGTGTACCTGTCTAGCTCACATCGTGAAAAAGATCTATTCGGACTTTGAGCTGCAGGGTGTCATGGAGGAGAAACTCAATACGAAGACATATCAGACTATAGACAAAAGGATGAAGACGGAAGAAGCAACTTGTGCCTTAAACATGAGCGCTCAGAATGAAGAGTAAGCTTTTTTAACTCTAATAAGATTAAAAATATATTTAGTAGAACTTGCAAGATAATATAAAAAATGTATTATATATTTTTTTTTTGCGCGCAAAATAAGATTTTTTCCCGTCGAACATATAAAAAAATTTAATATTCACAATTTATTTAATTAATTTATCTAAATTTTGTTATTTAGAAAATTACTAATAAATGCTGTTCTTTTTGCAGAGGATTTTCGGAGAATGGCAATGACGATGAGGTGGAGAGACCTAAGACAAAAGTGACGATCGTTGAGACGATAACGGAAGACGCGAATTATGTGGCCAATCTGAGTAACGTCACCTCAAATGTTGTTGGCAAAGTCGGTAGCATGTTCGGCAAGGGCATCGGCGGTCTTTCTACAAAATTTGGCTCAGCCAGCAATTGGTTCTAGTTATTGTTTCTAGCACTCTGCCAGTAAAAAAAATCTTACATTCGACTAGTACGTTCCTTCGTCTAAATAAGGGGATGCGAACGGGGCAAGATTTCTAAAGGCATAGCCAGTACCCTATAGACAGTACGATGATCTAGAGTTTTGTCCATATAAACGAATGATAACGATTAAAACGATGCAATCGATCGGATCAGTTGGCTCTTATCGTCTCGCGAGATCGGTTCAATTTTATTGCGGATTTTCTTCGAGATTTTCAATAGTTCCAAAACTAATATTAAAAGAATTACTTATTGATTGATCACGATTGAAAAAACTAATTGCTGATATATTTCCGTTTACTTAGGCATAGTTTTTTCGAATTTCCAGTAATAATACGTATTAGACGTCGTAATGTGCGTGCTAAGAATTACGCGAGCTCGTTGTAAATTCGTTTTAATTGACCGATTATGTTTGATCTCAGGTAATAGCGAAAACATAGTCGAAATATACTATTCGGAAAGGCTGATTGTGTGCGAGAAATAAGCACGATATAGACGAGAGAGTAAACGCGTAGATATATCTAATCATATTACAAAGGTATATGTATATAAACGTACACATGCACACATATGCAACGTGTAATTATGAGATATTCGTACATTTTGTCGTGGTCTGCATGTGTCAGACTAACGTCGTTAATATATACATATATACATATATATATATATTAGCTGAATTGTCAGAACACAGAATATACGAGATTTTTCCTACTTAGTCTGTGTACCGCGAGTTGGTTTTGCGGATTTAGTTGTCGAAGGATAAAAGCAAGGGCACACACACGTATTTTGCGTAAATAAAAAACTAGGAAAGATTCTCGGGTCGATTGCAACGTTACTTGGATGTGGAATACGGGGGGAACGCGACAGGAATAATATGAAAAATCTCGAGAAAAAGTCACGGAAAAGTAAGAAACGGGAAGGAAAGGGATACACGACTTGTCGAAACCGCTTATCGAATTAATTTCGCGATCAACTATATTTTTTCAACTGTTAGGTACGATCGCTGTTATCTGTTGGACGACCATTCGTCTGCTATTCGAGCGGATTTCTTGTTTCGTTACAAAAAAACTTTTCGTGAAACGGAAAACGAGGAAGAGACGTTTCCTTTGCGATTAGAAGTAAGAGACACAAAGTGAAATGAAGAAGAGAAATATTTCATCTCTCTTGTGAATCTATATAGAGTCGATTTTTCCAGTGTAAGAATTTTCAGCATTAAAAACTTTATCGCAATTGAGCCTCGTTAAAAATCTCTCAGAAATTAACATTAACTTAAAATTAATCCTTGAAAATTTAATAGTTAAAATATCTTGCAAATTGTCGCTTAAAATCGGTGATCGATATTCTATATTCATCTCTGTCTTAATATATTCTTCGAGGCTCTGGGCACTCTGTATAAGAATACTAATTGTTATTCACATACATCAAAATGATAAATTTGATTTATACTGTTAATTTAAAATTCATGAAGAACTCAATTAATAAGTTTCCCGAATGGCTATAAATATTAGACTTTAATAGAGCTTAAAAGATTAATCGGGTCAAAACTTGTGATACATTGCTAGCGTAACCTTTCATAGTTTTTTCCGATGGTACTATATTTATTAAACATACACGCAAACAAGTTTCAGCATATTATTAATTAGTCGCGATTGAATGGTCGCCGACAACCAGAAGCAGTGAACGTAGTAGCACGTTGTATTTTTACCTGCATCACATTATACGAATTCATGCTAGATATCGGTAATGTGATAGCATTCGCGAATTACTACATATACAAACAAATTAACTATTTATTTGCAAACGAGGAAAGGGAAAGGAGAGCAATTATATGCACAGTGAGAAACTTTATTGGCGAGAATTAAGTCGAGAGAGATAATCGAAGAATTCGTCATTTATTAAAGAGCGTTAAAATTTTTATTTTAACATTACAAGGACAATAAAGGAAGAATTCTTTAATTAAAAAATCATAGGAAAACTATATTAATGTCTCGCCAGAATAAAATTTTTTAATGTGTATAAAATTGATGTGTGTTCGGTTGAGAATATTTCATTTTTAAGAGTAACTCTCGCGAAATATGTTGTGAAATTTTCTAGTAGTCTCAACATTTTGAGAATAATTCTCAATCGGGTTTGCTACAGATTTTCGCTGTCGGGAGTCGCTCTTGAGATATTGAATAATTTTCAGGATCGAAATATATAAACGAATCGTGCGTGGGTTAGGCACTGAATCGTTTTCGATTTTGCTCTAATTACGCGACAGGGAGGAAATATATATATCCTCTTTTTTTGATTAAAACAATTTTTTTTTGTCATTGTCGTCGTTATGATACTAATTAACGTCCTATAAAAGACAAGTGTTATGTAGGTTTACAATGCAAGAGAGCCTTGTCCCTGGATCACGAGGCGCATGTATATTTTCAAAACTTCACGATATAACGTTCGTATATATTAATGGATATTTATTCAGCTTGATATAAACTCTTGAAAGTGCATCAAACGCGAAAGTATAACAGCGAGGCAGGATGAAAAATGTACGTCCCTTAAGAATTTTATTTATTTTACATTGCGAGATATTTCGTCTATTTTCATTTGTCAATTTTCCATTTTTATTTTTATTATTTCTGTGTTTTTTTTAAATGCGCGAGAGACAAATCCTAATCGCCTTTATAACCATCGAGCTCTTTGAGCTCTCTCTGTCTACCTCAAATATGAAGAAGAATCATTCCATTGTATATGTAAAATAATTCCAGAATAAGATAATCGAAAAAAAAACTAACATAATCAAGTTGATACAAATACGAAATTTGTTTGAAATTTAAACTCATAATTGAGATAAAACTTATTTTTGGCAAATCAATATTTTTTTAGAGATCTACGTATATGGTTTATTTTAAATAAGTAATTACGTCATTTCAGGGAATCATAATAACAAGAGAGTTTTTGTTCGACATCAATCATTTTCTTATTCACTACCTGATTATTATTAGTGGCGGATACATATTTTTCATCCTACTTCGATGAGTAAGGCAGTTATAAAATTAACCGTAAAAGAGGATATGAAAATACACATACAAACACACGTACACACAGACATACACAGAAATGTAGAGCAGTCGCGCAAACGCGAAGCGAGGGAGGAGGGATTTACCATTCGTTTGTACATACTAATGGCGAAATGGGAAAGAGTAAATTTTTTATATGAGACAAAAAAAAACGAAGCTGAGAGCGAAGCGTGTAAATCTCACGGATTAAACAATTCTTTATTTTAATTGCTCGATTATGCGTTCAAGTTGCAATAAGTATAAGAGAGATTGCATAATGAGATGACTCGGCAGTACTTTCTGTACCGACGTATGTGCAAGCGGCAAAAGCAAATTTCTAGAGACGATGTTATAATTTTTTTATCGTCGACTTTCGAACTTGACAGCATATTTTTTGATGCATTGCACGTTTATAAAATAGGGCGACCAAAAAAGGCGAGTTTCTTTTTTTCTCTCAATCTTTCTCTGATTTTTTGTTCTCTCTCTCTCTCTCTCTCTCTCTAGCTCTCTATTTCTCTCTCTTTTTCCAATTATCTCTCTCTTTCTCTCTGTCTCTTTCTCTCTCTCGCCAGAAATTAACAAGTACATATAATTTGCTAAAGAATGAGATAAATATTACACACTCCATACATAGATCCTTTTAATTTCGTTACACTGTTATATGTTCTTGACGCCCAAGGAAAAAAAGTTAATGTAAAATACAGTTTTATAAATGTTATGTTATTTTTGACACGTTGCGGCTTGCAGTGACATTGGATTAAGACTATGTTGTTAGACTCGAATTGAAATTTTTCTTTCCTTATATCGCAAATATTACGTGAAATGCATAATGACGCCTGACAGAAATACCTTTCTTTCATGCTTCGGAATTTGTTCTCGTTTTTATACTTACATCTTTTTTATCTTAATTTTCTTACAATAATAAACTTTCGAAAATTACTAAAACCGACAGTCACAAATATTTAAAAAATCTAAATAAAAAACAATTTCTCAACATTATTAATTCTTTAATTATTAAAAATTAAAGAGTTTGAAAAATTATATTTTAATAAATTAAACTAAATTTTATCTTTTATTCGAAATTCTAATTAAGCTCTATGTTTCAAGATATTTAATACTGAAAATTTTATATATTAGAGAAGAAGCAAACAGGATATAAAAGAAAAAAATTCAGAAGCCTGAGCGCATTATTGCAATTGCTTGAATGTTTCGTCACTGATATCGCAATGACCAGTAAAGTGCAATGATACAATTGTATGATTTATCGCCACGATGATGTATATCAATACCGACTAAGTAAACGCGGCCTTATACACACACCGTATACATGATAATTTCCGTCGCGATCGTGACGAGATTCTACGAGAGCGGAAAGTCAGGCGCGAGCGAGATTCGTTTAAGCCCTTAAAAGGAAGCGAAAGTGGGAAAAAAAAGAAAAGAAAACAAAAAACACGGGGAATTTGAAACTTTATCAAAAGTAAAAAAACCTCCAAATTATTATATTATACTTATCAATGCTAACGACGTTAGAATTATTATGATTATCGTGGTTATTCTTACTATTGGTAATTCTCCTATACTCTTACTAATTAGATTAGGACTGTTATGAAATGATCTCTCTCTCTCTTTTTATCTCTCACTCTTTCTGTCTATCTGTCTACCTATCTATTTATCGATTTATCGATCTATTTCCGTCTCTATTTCACTATTCCGACTATAGTAATTCTTCACCGATCGAACTTCGATACGAACACTTCTGTCGCCAGCTCTCTCTACCTTCTCTGTCTGCCTTTTCATTTTTATCTTTATCCTACTTGTTTACTCTTCTTAACCAATTTCTAATTTTTCCTTTCCCTATTTTCTCTATTTCTCTCTTTCTCTCTCTCTATCTTTGTTTTTCCATTTACCTTTCTCCATTTTGCGTTTAAACTGTGACTTTACTTGAATTGAAGAGATGGTCTTTTTACTCTCTAGCCAGTGTTCTAGTCTCAATTTAACTTCTATTCAACTGTTGTTCTCTCGTTAATAAAAAGTCCGACGAAAAAAAAAAACAGAACAAGATACAAAAAAAATAACACATATCCCGATATTTTTTATTTCCTTCTCAATAATCGGCTCCAATAATCGGCACTTTATCAGTATCATCCAATCATGCGTTTTTTCACGAGGAAAAAAAGAGAACAGAAATCACTCGCTCTCATCGTTTGTCGCCAACACGATATACTTAAAAGTCCGGAAGGGAGAGTATATGCGATATGAATTCGCGTATTTTCTGTAAATATTACCATGCACACGCAACACGCATCCTCATCGTAACATTGTCATTGTAAAAGAAAAACGGTCGAGAAGGGAAAAATCTTGTGTAAAGAAGAGATGGAATTAGAATAGATTCGATTTTTGTTGGAATTTTTAGAATGAAGGAAATAAGTAAGTGGAAGGAAATAAAAAAGTTTTATTCTTTCCACTTTTTTCCTCATTTCGAATATTCGAACAAAAATTAAATTCTCTCTTATTCCATCCTTCCTCGTAGACAGCGGAAAGAAAAAAATAGGTCCAGGCGATCTCAAATTTCATTGTAAATAAGCGACGCGCCGACGTAACTTAAAATTTTCGTGTCATTATTCGCCGGAGCCTACAAAAAAAAAGAAGAAAAAAAAGAAAAAAAAAGAAAAAGAAAATCGCTTGCTTAATCGGGGTAACGAATGAATGATAATCACCGCCTGTCTCACTCTCTATCTCTTATTATCTCTCCCTTTCTCTCATCCATCCTCACTCATCGAAGCATTAATCGCATCTCTTTACTCGACTGCAAAGCGGAAACGACTGTGATCTAGATTAGTGTTACACATCGCATGAAGAAGAAAAAAAAAAGAAAAACAATCGATCGATCAGTGCTTAAATGCGACATCGACCATGATCATGACAACATAGATTATGAATGTTTCGTAGCGATTAAGTATTTCTTATGGACTTTCACGCATATACATATATAAATAAATGAAAAATATATCTATAAATATATATATATATATATATAAATATATATATATATATACACACATAATTACGCCACGCTGAGAGAGGCTATGTGAAAACGTCGGAACGTTCTTTTTTTCCTTTTGTGGAGCATTTGTGTAAGTAATTTGCATGTGGGGCAAGAATGCAAACGCATACATGTGTAATTGCAATTAATAAAGTATACGTTGTAAAATGTAACATGTCATGTAGCGTACATACCTTCGTATTCGTCGCGATGTCCATCTTGTGCTCGTTCAATTTTCATCTCGCCCTTCTTCTCGAAACATCTCATATATGCATGCATCATCCAACATTCAGCATCCCGATGTTGCAGAAATGGCCTAAATCATTCAATAAGATTATTATTATTAAAATAAAATATCAGTGTAAAATAAAAATTAATATCTCTTTCAAAAATATTTTTCTTCCGAAATATTTCAAAAGAAGTAAATTGTTTATAATATTTAGAAAAAATATGAAAATAAAGGCGAATGTGGGAAACAAATTTAAAATTCGATGTTTGTAATTTTGCATGATTAAAAATACCTTTGATATATGTATTTTGTATATAAATGATAATATTTGATAATTTGTTTCAAGAAATGTTTTAATTTGGGTTAATATATAGGTTGGATCGAGAAGTGTAGTACAATTTAAAAAATTAATTTCTCTTGCAAAATTATAAAGAGTCGAAAATAACAAAGAGTAAAATTTTTTCGTATGAGACTTTGTTTTTGAAAAAATTTACTTTAATATGGAAAATTAATAATATATTTATGTTTTCAGTGCTTGAATTGTTCTAATAAAATCTTGTATTATATATCGCTAAATGCGACAACGACTAATAATATATATATATATATATATATATATATATATATATATATATATATATAATATATAACATATTCATTTAGTAAAACAATCTAAAATATTCTAAAATAATTTAAGATATTTGTATATATTCTGAAGCACTCTCGAGAGAGATGAATAATATATGTAAAGAGCGTAAATATATCAATTTTTAAGGTTAATTATATATGCTCTCGAAAGTCAACGATAAATATCCTACTTTTTCAATTAGTTGTCGTTACTGCAATTCAGTAGTCTAGAGAAGACTTGTATAATAATTATTTTGGATATAATTACCAGTAAATCCACAAAATTAATGCGTTATTCTTTCTTGAAGAATTCGGCGCGCGCTCCACAACTCGAATCAAAGTCACTGCTGCCAACTGCATAATCACAAATACTAATAATTCAGAAGATTACCCTACGTCGGTAACATCACTCAATGAATAACAATACATGAACTTTGCGGCAATATATTTTGTTTTTATAATATATATAATATTTTCTTACATATATTAAATTACAATTTAAATTTATTACTCGATTCATTCATTAATTGAGCACATTTTAATTCATAATCGCTTTACATTCTAAATCTATATATTAGCAGAGAATGGGCTTCTGACTCTGATATATATGTATGATATGATACGAGAATTTAAAAAGCACATATCTGTCACGCGTAAAAAACTCAGTTAATCATTTAATTTTATATTTTATAATCGCTTATCAGTAACTTTCAGCTTATCATCAATCAGCTCATTAACATATAGTTTCGTGAATCGACGCGCCAATCGTCGTTTCGGACGGGCCACGACGTTTCATAACAGTGCCGGACTCGTGTCCTTGATTTCGTTAGTGCAGGACGAGGAGACTCCAAACTCGAGTCGTTCTCCGAAGAAGAGAGATCGTCCCCGAGAAAAATCCTTCCGAAAAATCGTATTCGTACTCGTCAACGGCCTATAACATGCTCACGGTAAGAGCTTTGCAAAGCACTTTAAAGCTCTGTGAAGAACCATCTGTCGTAATTTATTGTGTTCTCTTCCACGTTTCTTCGCAGTCTTTTCTCTATCTTGTCTAATTCTGTTTTGTTATAAATAAATCTTGTATGGGAGGATAGAAAATATTGAGCAACTACTGCAAGTGTGGAACAAAACGTTGCGATTTATGTGAAAAAAAAGAATAAATAAGAGGAAACAAAAAGCAAAAAAACAAAAGAAATAGAAAATTTTAATTTTGAAATGATAATTTTTTGTTTTCAGACTGTCGTAAGAACCGTCGTTCGTCGCTCGTTCTCCACTTC